GGCATCCGAGGCGAGTGCACCAGCAGAACCAGAGAAGCCAAAGAAGAGAGTGAAGGCAGAGAGCGCAGTGGTGGCAAGCACTGAGCCTGAGCCCAGTAAGAAGAAAGTTAAGGTACCGGATCCAGTCATGAGAGAGAGCAAGCGTCCAGCTGAGCATGAGGCTGGCAAGGAAAGCAAAAAGCCAAAGCCCAGTGAACATGAAGCTGAAAAGAAGGAGCCAACCTTGTTTAGGGTCACTGTACAGTTGGGTATCGAATCTATGGTGTTGAGTCGCAGGATCCCCTCAGATGTTTGGAGAAGATTGCTACGATGCCGAGCATTGATCTTATCACATCCCCTACTCCAACCAAATTGAACTTTGATGAGGCTGGGCCACATGTGTTTCTCTAATCCACCATGCTTTCGCCCTGAACATCCAGTAGGCCCTTTTCATGATGTGATGTGGTGTATGGATCTGTGGAGAGTGGAGGACTATTAAAATTGGTCCCGCCATGTCCCGCCCTCTTGACACAAGGTGACGCCACATGCGAGTGGCGAACCAGCGGCGTCATCGAAAACCAAAACTGAGCGAACCAAGACCTTCGATGAGGAGGCTGCCAAGAAAATCGAGGCTATGTCTAAGCCTTCAGATATGCCGTATGAAGAGAGGAAACGGCAGTATGCCGCCATGAGACGACAGATTTACCGCGAAGCCCCTCCAGCTTTGCTAGCAAAATACTCGCTAGCTCCAGATGCTGAGCGGTCCCTAGCCTCTATTTCTTGCCACACATGTCATGCCACGTACCCTTAAATTGTTTCATCCGAGATGGCTAGCAACACCCCACCGAGGTTCCAGATGCTCCGCCAGTGGATGTTGAACCCGGACCTAGATTCGATCTTCGTTGAAGAAAAATATGTCCAATGGACGGAAAGCTTGCGCAGCGACCGATACACCACTGTGCCTCCCTTGATCGTCCTTGGTAGTCTTGGAAAGTCATGCAAGCGTGCCAATGTAGCTAAGACTGACCTTTACCATCCCATCCCAGGTGACACTTTTCCAGCTCGAAAAATTGTACGGCAAGAGTAAGGAGGCCAAAGAGTTCATCAAAGAGCTGATCAAGGGAGACTTGAGCTTAAGTCTTTCGGGGGTTCCATACTAGCAAATACCGACTATTCTTCCAAACTAGACTCCAAATTGGGGGTTGCCTTTTTTGTTGTTTTAGAAAGCATTTGGGACAAAAAAAGGCCACCCCCTAAAAAGCGTTTTGGGAACTGTTGCCTCCTGTTGGTTCCATGCTGAGGACAGAAAGGCACTCCGCACCCACAGGCCTGCGTGCCTTCCGAATGCTTTGCTTTGATTTGCCGCAGCTTCTGTTTCTCTCAAACCTTGAGTGCATGCAGGCGCCGACAAGCACCAAGGGCCGGATGTTCAAAGTTCTAAAGGAGGTGGTGGAAGAGAATTCTCAAGGAAACCGGACTGACAAGCTGGTGCCTTGTTTTGACCTAACTTATTTCATCCCAGAACACATCGCGAGCAAGTCAGTGTTCCCAGCGACCGTGGTTCGATCTCGACGAACGCGTTGTTTTGGGGAGGGAAATGGTGGAGGTTGAGGAGTACAAATATCTGCTTTGGAGTTGGTGCCCCTTTAGCTAGTCAAGGGCTCCGTTTTGGAAGGGGGATTCTTTAGCTCAGGATGTGCAAAACTGAGCAACTTAGGCATCGGTTGGTGGCCGCTGCCGTGATGAAGGAGCGAAGAAATTGTTGGCCCAACAGCTAGGGGGCCTCCAGGATCCAGAGTTTCTCAACATGGCCACTGGCCAAATCAAATCGAAAAAGATGCCCAAGCAGAAGACACCGGAGCAGATCTCGCAGTTCGATCTCAAAGCTCTCCAAAAAAAGCCCCTAGGCCCATGTGAATATAATCATCTCGAAAGAACATGAGAATGGGAGAAGGGTAAGGGGATTCCACATTGGTGGCTTACCCACCCGACTGAGGCTCAAAGGTTTGATCAATACGATCCCGGCCATCCTGAATGACATCAAGGAATACAAAGTCCGCAACTGTGCTGAGCTGGTTTCTTGGTCTGACTCTGACTTGGGTAAAGGAAACAACTTGGGATGTGAACTGTGAACTAGCTATTCCTGTATGTAGGATCTAGTACCTCTTTCCTGGAGCTTAGGTTGAGTGCCTCGAAGGCCACCAGAAACCAGTGAACGAGTACTACGAGACGGTGACTGCGAAGGTGAACCAGCCTTTGTCAACACTTGAGCCTGAGGAGCGCTATGTTTGATGTAGGGTTGATGGTCCAGGGCTGCCCGCCAACTCCCTTGAACCCCTTGACTTCTCTGCTCTTTCAGGAGGTCAACACCTTTGTCGCCCAGATGAAGGAGAACATCAAGGACGTGGAGAATGATGTGAAGGACGGTAGAAAGCGGATTTCAGGTGTCAAAGCCAGTAAGAAGACTAAGAAGGCCAAAGAGTCTGATCACGAGGGGGAATCTTCCGGGGAAATGTCGGGATGATAGGAATCTTGCCAGCCAACAACTCTAGCAGCTGCGTAGGTTTATAATAGATGTTGTACCAAAAGGTGTTCCGGCATGCCCTGTCTGCCTAGCTGTGTTGTACAGTTTCTAGTGTCAAATTCCGGCCTGCAGTTGATCGTCTTCTTCCGCGTGTTCAGTTAGATCCGCCCGAATCGGTCCGCAATTTGTTCGTGATTGGCGTGACAACCTTCAACTTGAAGAGTGGGAACTAGCGTTCGACTGCAAGTGCTCCAAGCCCGTCTGATGACAAGGGGCCAGAAATTCATCGATTGCACATGGCCAAATTGGCCAGCGCTCAGCCATTTTTGGTGGAGTCTTTAATTGGTCCACTCAAAGCCCCGCGGGCCCAACAAGTTCTGGGCTTCCGCGCAGGCTTTCGACTTCGAATCTTAGAAGCACCTGCTGCGCGGACGTGTTTTAGAGAGACACGAACACGTGCCATGTCAAAACAAAACATGAGCTGCAGGGTCAACAAGCTCTGAAACATTATGCTGTGCATAAGGCATTGTGCATGCAATATATCGACATCGATCGATTGTTTCTGCAGCATCAGCATGGGTGGTATAGGTGTGCATAGGTCAGGGACAATGTGAGGTCCCAGGTTGTTTTTTTGGGGGGATGACCATGGACCTGTGATGGACCTGGTGGAAGATTTTCTGGAATTATCAAGACTTGTGACCCGGCTAACTGCTATTGAGTGTTTGCCATAATGTCAGTGTTCATGGACATTTGAGCTGTAACCCTCCTTGTATTGAGGTATCTGTGGAAACTCTATTGGCTCTTTTAAAATCTCTTCGGAAGAGGATCCCAGGAAAGCACCTGCCGTGTCTTGGCTGGTAGATCTTTCATTCATCCTCGACTGTCTCTGACTGTCATCGGCGTATATGTCCAGTCCTGTCCTTGAACTTGCCAGGAAAAACTTGCGTGATTTGGTGGATCTGGGTGATAGCCGCACATTGAAGTCAACGCAATTTTGGAGATGGCTTCGAAGGCAGAAGTGGCGGCGAATGCTGCCAGAGCCAACACAGTGATTTGGCCTTGGCTTACTTCAGTTCACTAGGTCCTCCTGAGTCCTCCTGAACGGTTTGAAGATCTATGCAATTTCAATCCTAGGATTCAAGTGGTTCTGTCGGACCCTGGTCGAGAGAAGCAACACTTCCTGGGCACGTGGGATGTCTTTCTTCCCAGCGACATGTGCCCTGGACACATATGCATGCATTAGTTCAATGACATATCGCACACATCCGTTTTCACCTTAACAGAGGTTTGCATCGCTCTACAAGTACGATCAAGAGTTGTTCCGGCAAAGGTTGCTGGGCCCACCAGGGGTGCCTTGTTTTGTCTATGAGTGTTGAAGAGTTTGTGGCTGTTGTGTGTGTGTAGCTAAACACGTTGTGCCCTTTGAGCCCCAAGGCCTTGGAAAAGTTTTGGGACACAATGAAGGACACGACATTGTTCAAGGAACATCCAGTCCTATCCAATCCAGACCCTCGGAAAAGATCTATAATTTGCAAGGGTACTTTTGTTTGAGTGTATGGGCTGCAACTAGTTTCCCCAAATCTTCAACCCATTGGCTGTGTTGAGGCTACAGACCTTAAATATTGCATTCCGCTATGTGTCCATGGGGATGATGCAGAAAGCCATCGTCGAAGATCATTTATGATATCGACCATTGGTTCCGTCCTCGTGGACGGTTCACCGTTTGACACGAAACTGTTGGTATATTGCGTGGACAACCACCAAGCAGTTCACGAGACATTCACAACGCTGGACCAGTGGTTCGTGTGGTCTTTGTGTGAGCTAGCTCTTGGACACTTCCTGGACAAAGATCCGTTCAACCGTGATCACCAGCCATTCAGCCAAGGAAGGCGAGGTCGTATTTGCGGACCATGGAAAGGAATCGTAGTTGTACATAAGGGTGACGAGAAGTACATCCACAAAGCCTATGGCATGACCCACTCTTGGATATCAAAGTTCATATGCTTCAGGTGCAAAGCAGAATCGCAAGGTCCAAATTGCTATTCAACTTATGGGGAGCACGCACCGCACCGGCGTACAATGATGGACACTGACCAATTCATTGAAGGTTCTTGTCATGGTGGTTGTCCCTGGATTAGACTTCCGGGGTGGAGCGTTGAAATGTTGGCCAACGACTGGCTTCACGTCGTTGATCTAGCAGTATCTCCGGAGTGCTGTGCAAGTGTACCTTGCTTTCACTTGCTTTCACTTGTTCTTTTTCATGCCCTGTGTCAGCTCTCACTATGTGTGCGCGTGGGTTTTGAGCGAGTGAGGCACTTGTCGAGATCACCCGGACAGATTTAGTGTGGACAGGATCCAACGTTGACGAAAGACTTCGCCTGGCCTTTCATAGCTTCACGAGGATGTGTAAGCTTCATGGAGTGAGACTCATGGTATGGAAAGAGGTGTTTGTGTTGCATGGTGGTGTGGTTAAAATGTATCGAATCTTCGCACCTCAGCCAAGGAAATCGGGGACAAATTTTTTGCGAGAACTTTGGCAAACATGGGAACAGCATTCATATCACGCGCGCACACACACACAAACGGCCATGCCCAATGGCTCAGGAAACATTTGTATCCAGCTGGCGTTCGAAGAAGCTATCCAACCCTAGCCCAGAAACACTTCAATGGGGCTGATACTTGGCACTCTCCACCGCAAAGACTATGTTCGATATATAATTTGCTGAATTATAGTATAATTTGTGGACACAAGACCCTGACGTGGCCTCAGGAGGGGGTGATCCTTTGCCGATTCTTGAAGGGTGTTTGTTTATCGATTGCCGAGAGCTATCCTCAAGATACTCATGCAGCGTTACTCGGATGCTTTAGACACTTTAGACACAAGTGGCACTTCTTTTAAACCTAAGAATGCATGAGGCTGCGGGCTTCCTTGTTCGTAAACTTGGTGGCAATGAGAGAAGCTTTACAGAAGAGAGCAAATCCTCCAGTTCACCTGTCACCAGACAATTTGCGAAAGCTGCAGCTTGCATGCTACCTGTTCAAATCTGCCCACTGCTGTATCTTGTCTATATGCACATCTCCTATGATGTGTGTCACACTTGGTTTCCTTGTTTGTTGGGAACTAATCTGCTTCAGGTTTTGCTTGAACTGAGGGTTGTCATGTTGGGCACTATCCCGTGAGGAGCTCTTGTACAAAATTCGTCCAAAATATCACAAGAGACTTGGTGAAGGGCAGGTGCACATGGTTTCCCCATATGAGCTCTGATTTGAATGGTTCGCACGTCCGTGTATCTGAGGATGGATCATTTGATCTATGACGTGGCACCTCGAATGAACCCGCTAGCTTTGTCTACATACCAAGACGAAGACGCTGTTGGCAAGGTAAAGCGGCTTGCCATGTTGTCTCATCCAACACGGATGGGGGGCCAAGTGCTGGCCCGATACAGCGCATACGTATGCGTTCGCTGGTTGAGAAAGCTTTCGGAAGGAGAAGGCGGTTGACTCAAGGATGTTCTAGTCCCAAACTTTAACTGTACCTATGCAACAAACGAACGCCCACAAGTCACCCGATGGCGCCTGTGCCGTCTTCTTCTCGGAGATGGCAGCTTCCAAAGGCAGCGTGAAGTGCCGCTGAAGGTGGTAAAAGGGTGGATGGGCTTGGGTCATGGATTGCTACATGTCCATTAAATCGACTTAGATCGATCATATATCTTGGGTTTGAAAAAAATGATCAAAGGGGTGGCCATTATCCACTCACTTAGGGGACCTCTGAAAAAAAAATCCATTAAGCATACCTTTGAAACTGCTGGAGTGTGGATCTAACTTAACTGTTTTTTGAAAACTACATATTGCCATATGGGGGGTCTCTAAGAATTGTCCGTGTCCGCCCAAACATCGAAGAACACCGCCCATCGCTGCGGTGCTGCCTGCCGACCTCCAGCCGAGCGAAGCGGCCGACGGACACGGGAGGCCGAAGAGAAGCAAGCCGTCGAACGAGAAGCGCATGCTGCGGCGACCGTGGGGGCAGCTGAAGGGTGATTCTTCGGTTCAGAATGAGAACGAGCACGTCTGAGGACGAGTGTGTTTTTTGGACTAGGAGGGGAGACTTCTGAACATTAGAGGACTGGTCCAGGTGCAAGTGCTTTTGTCCAATGGCCCGGTCCCCTGAGAAACACCCCGAGGTGCGAAGGCCACCGCACAATCAAACCGAGGCCACCGCACTGGCTGCGGCCGTGGTGGAGGACGAAGCCGAGGCCATTCACGGGTTGGGCGGTTCCGGCCACGAAGGCGGTCGAGACCCGACGAAAGAGTCGGGTGCATGGGGTCCAGATGTTTAGTAGACACAAAGATGACCCGAAGTGTAGAGTTCTACCGAAGATGCTTAGTTGGTACCCTTCAAATATCATCTTTGGACTTCGAACCGGCAACAATGGGCAACGAACTGAGCAAGTCCTCCCGGTTTCTCAGAATGGAAGGGCCTTTTTCACTGAGAAAGCAGGGGGCAGCGGCCATGCAGCGGCTGTCATCAGGCAAGCGCCCAATTCTCCGCCAAAACACACACACGTGCACGACCATGCCCTCTTCCATGCACGACGTTACCACCCAGGTGGTGCATGTCTGACATGCCAGGGCGCTTCTTCCAAAGGAGGTCAGCCCAAGTGGTTCCCCTTGGTTCCCGGAGCCTCACCTCCAAGGTGCCACACCACCCCGAGTTACACCAGGTTTCCGGGTCACACGGCTTTCCCCGGTGACCGGGGGGGGTGGTTCGACATGTCTGCTACGGCGTCTGGCGTCTTGTCGTTTGACGTCCAGGCCAAGACGCAATCGAAGTTGCCCCCGGTGACTTGGAGCGGACGCGATCGGAAACACCGGTGTCGAAGCTGCGCGATCGTCTCGCGTGGCACACAGGCATGGCACGTCGACATGTCGCCCGGCACCGCTTTGGATCGTTTTTTGGTGGACGTGACGACCGCAGTGACGGACCCGAAAGAAAGACACCCCATTCCAAACTTGACTCAGATTCTGAGGGTGGGAAGGCTGACTAGCTGACTAGGTCTCAGGGGTGTGAAACAGAACCACCCGAACTGGGTGAAGCGGAGAGAGTTGAAGTCTCACACTTGAGGGGAAACGATCGCAAAGTGAAGAGCTCCTGAATGGATGAACCGCGAAAAAAGGGACGGTGATGAAACGCCAATGTCAGGAGAGACCTGGAAGAATTCATGCTTGTCTATCAGTACTGTGCAGGAATTCTTTGTCTATAGAACTGGATATAGGACATACACTCACTATCCCTCCTTTTCTCGCCGATGTTGCCTCCTCATGTTCCCATTAAAGCATATTAAAGCACATGTTCGACCCATCGAAGCTTCGTGCGTTTCGCCTTCCAACTCCGTTTGCGAGTTCGGTGGATCCGCGCCATTGATCGAGGCGAAATTGCTGCTTTGTACTTTGCAGTTGAACGACGAGGCCGACAAGACCGACCGGCCTGGTTTTGGGTACCGTCCACGGTACCGAAGTCCAGATTGTTTCTAATAGTAACAAGTGCCTTACTACTATAGTAACAATTAGCTTGTAGGAACAAGTGCATCGCTACTAGTAACAAGTGCCTTACTACTAGT